AACTAATGCTTATCCATGCAAGGAAAAAATGCCAAAAATAAAATAAAATAAAACCTGTAATCGTAATCAAAATGATTTGCTGGAGACATTTTTACAATTAACAATCTTTTATTTTGAAACAATAGGTGTTGAGTGTATGTCTTGTATTCTACAGGTGCAAGTTTTGTTAATTATGTGGCATTAGGATTTATTCTAGAGATGAGGTTGACACAGAAAAATACTAAGCATGGAGTATGAGTAGGGAAACGGGTGTTGTTTCGAGGCTCGGGTGTTGGTGTCCGATTTTTGAGTGTTTTTGGTCTTATGAGTGTACTCTATCATGTAGGGTGTATTTGTTCCGACGGACTGAATAAGGGAGGATTGCAATTCATTGGATTATTAGGTCAAGTTTGTAAAGTGTAAAAGTTTGTAAAGTGTAAAGAAAGTTAAAAAGTTAAAAAGTTACTCAAAAAGTTAAAAAGTTATCACTATTCACTAAGAGTTTGTTTGGGATTTTCTAAAAAAGTACACTTTTTGACTTATTGACTTATATGGGTTGGGTTTGGGTTGGGCTTGATATAATGTGTTAGAGAGGTGATGTGATTTAAATAAGATGATGTGACTTAAATAGGATAATGACTTTTTGACTTTTTGTATTATTTAGTAAATGCCAAACTTGGCCTAAAAGTCAAAAATTACGGCTGCATAACTCCCAATCCTAATTCTCCCCTACACACTAATTTATACAATTTTTTAATACACATTTTTTTATAAAAAATCAAAAAGTTAACCCAAACATCCATATTTTTTCCTTCAACTTTTTAGTCCAAAAAGACAAAAAGTGCACTTATTTAGGACACCCCAAACAACCCCTTAGTTTTGGGATACATTGTCCCCGGACTATTTGGTTGGACTGAATTTGTATCATATGTTTGTTTAATCATGAGATTAGATATCTGGATTTGACTATTTTTAGTGAATTCAATGTTTGTTTGAGATATTATGAAAAAAGATAAATGCTCAAATGACTATTTTATCCTTTTCAATTATTTACTAAGTAATTGCAATATTAAACATAAATTTAATATTTTAATTATTTTTAGTTAGATTAAATAAAAATTTATTTTATTTTATTTTTTACACAATTAAATAAATTTATTTTTAAAAAATTAAATAAATTAAATATCAATAAAAATATATGTTATTTTTTAATTAAAATTTTAAATAATAATAATAATTAAATAATGAAATAAAATAAAACATCTATTAAAATTTAAATAATGAAATTAAATAAAATATAAACAAAATTTTAAAATAAAACATCAATAAAATATCTATAAAAAAATTATTTTAAAAAATTAAATAAATAAAACAAAATTAAAAACTAAATAAAATTATTTTATTTTTAAATTGAAATATTTAAATTTTATTGAATTTTACTAAATATAATACATAATTAAATGCCATAGGATAAAAATGTAATTTTAGTAGCTAATCTCATGAGATGAGTTATCCCATGGTTTCTATTCCACCTCCATGAGATAGCATAGTCCCACAAATATGAGACTAATAGTCCGGAACAAAACTTTTGAAGCAAACAACACCCAATCTTTCCAAAACAAACACCTCGTATGGTAGATTATCTCTCTCTTTTGTGGACGTAAGTAAAATTGTGGTGAATCAAATAAATCTCTCCATGTAAATATGGTTTTTCTCTTTAATCTGGGTGTAGTGTACTTGCGTTTATGTTCAATCGATGTAGAATAACATCCCAATAATGGCCCCACAATGCAATTGTATCAGTTTTATAAATTTTCTACTTATTTTGTTATGTTTGTATAGAATAATACTCTCGCTTTAAGATAGACAGTAAATTTTAGTACGGTGTCATTTTCATAGTCATTTTCCAACATATCATATACATCTCCATATTGTGCTTAACCACTTTATTTTAATGGTCCAGAGCTAAACCTTCTAACTATGTGTCAATCATATTGCAATTATTGACCTAACAAAATAGTTCAATTTTGTATAGAGACTGAATTGTTTAAGGCCTGTTTAGTAACTATTTCGTCTTTAATTTTCAGTTTATATTTATAAATTTTTAAAAAATTGTCATAAAAACTTGTTTGATAATTTTTAGTTTATAAATGATTGTGTCAATTTGTAAATTTGAGAAAAAAATACGTTGGTTTTTAGACAAAAATTTAAAAATTTGACTAATAAATTTTATTTTTCAATAAATTTTTTTTCAAGTAATTTTTTTTTTCAATTGTAATGTGTATGATCCCATTGTCATAAATAATAAAAAATAAATATAAATATTTTAAGCCTGAACAAACATATTTTTTAGTTTATGTTTTTAAAATTTTTCAAACATTTTGTTCAAACTAAACGCGTTTATAGTTTATATTTTTCTAAAAATAAACAAAAATCAGTTTATAAAATTTTTATAAACATAAACAAAAAACGTAAACGTTACCTTAAATTGACAAGATTATGCTTAATTAAACATGAAGTAATACAGTGATAATTAACAAGAAGTTTAGATCATCAGATTAGGTTCATAACATCTATACCTTGAATAATCAAAACGGTCCGACAAGTTCAGCTCATTGCTACGCAGTGCCTTGTGTTGGAATTTAGAGAAAGATTCATCGTTTAGGATTTAGAATTAGAAAATTTAATATTTGATTCCAAAAAATTGAGTTTATTTTTCAGAAAATTAAGTTTTTTTTTTTTGTGTTTTTTTAAATAGTGAATTTTTAAAATATTTTAAGCAATTGTTTTTTTATTGTTTAGGTACACCTAATCTAAATATACTTAAAAATATGATATTTGTGAAAAAAATTAAAAAAAATTCACTAAATACAAAAAATACAAAAAAATAAAAATAAAAATTCAATATATTTTCTTATTTTGTTGTATTCAATGAATTTTTAAAGATTTTGTACAAAATTTTTACTTTTTAAGTATATTAAGATTAAGTGAATCTTAAATTTTTTAAAAATTAATTAAAATATTTTTAAAAATATTAAAAAATATAAAAATATTAATTGAAAACTCAAAAACTATTTTTAAAAAGTGGAAACCAAAATACCTAATTTTGGGGTCTCAATGATTTCATTTTGAATCACATTTTTCCTAGGAATCTTACTATTTTTGGCAAATTTTCAAATTTAAGTACTACAGAAATTAGATAGAGCTTGATCCTTGGTATGGTTGGCATGACCTGGTCCAGTTTATACTTTTATAACAATACCACATACTCAAAAAAACATATTTAGAAAAATAAAACAAACTACATTTATTGTGGGTGTGGTCCATGTCACCCTAATTTTAAATTTACGCCATACATCTCATTTTTTTGACATTAAAATTCATGATTCATACACGACAAGAAATTATAGTTCAAAATAAAAATTTAAGAGCGAAATTACTTTTTTGTGGTGAAATATCTTTATTGGCAAATGTGTTATTGTTATACTTTTAGCAACGGAATTGAATACTAAGACGTGAGAATAGAAAAGAAAGCATCATTTTAGTTCATGAACCTAGCAAGCCTTGTGACAGTGAGATAATTCTATCACAAAAAGGAAGGTTAGAAGAAACAACCAGTTTGTTAGAAAAGTCTTGGCTAGTAAGACGTGTGAATGGACAAGAAAGCAACATTTTAGTTCAGGAATTTCTTTCTTTTTAAAGGATATCATCATCATGATTTTAATTGGCGATATGAAGGAACTTATCTCTATTGATTGCAATATCTAGTGCTGCATGTTGGGAATTGAGTGTAAAAGACATGAAATTTCTAAAATCACCAGCTTTCACAAAAAAGTTCATGGTAGCTCAATTGGCCGCCGTATCAATTGTAAATTGACTGTGTACTGACTGATACGTATATAATTTCTATTTCAATCACTACATGAGAGTATATCAATATTAAAATGATAAAATCTCAATACATATTAGTCGATATTTCAAACTATGATGATAATATAAATCTATAAATTTTGGGACAAATTCTCTTTTAAAGGCATATCCGTGATCACATCTTCACAATTAGTTATACATATTGTTCGATATTTAAAACTACGATGATATTATAAATATATAAATTTTGGGACAAATTCTCTTTTAAAGGCATGTCCGTGATTACATCTTGACAATTAATTAATGATGGGCTTAAAGAACTCTTTAAGCCCCGTTTGGAATGTTAAAATTTCGTTAAAATAGTCAATAAAGACAAAATGAAAAAAAAAATACTAAAATAGTTAATAAGATAAAATGTCACATTTAAATCATAATCATTTCATTTTTTCTCTCACAATCATAAAATCACCTACAAAAAAGAAAAGAAATCCCAAACAAATCTTTTTTAGCCAATCTAAAATAATCAAATAGTCAAAAAGTCACGTAAAATAGCCAAGTTTCCAAACGGGCCTTACTTAAATTATAGTTGTATTGTAAGATAAGAATAAATAATAGTGATAATAATTATCTCTTAGAGTGGCTGATAGTTAACAAATTGCAAATATGAAGATGGTGAAGTCCTTAAGCCTTGTTTGGGAACAGGCTAATTTAGTAACTTTTTGGCTATTTGGCTAAAATATGAGCTAAAAAAAATTAGTATGTTTGGGATGACTTTTTGGCTAAATTATAGTTGTATTGTAAGATAAGAATATATAATAGTGATAATAATTATCTCTTAGAGTGGCTGATAGTTAACAAATTGCAAATATGAAGATGGTGAAGTCCTTAGTGTGGACTCCATATTGTGATGAGACTAGAAGACATAGCTTCCCATTGATTTTGTTGTCTAATATTCATAAAATCACCATACATACATCCCAAAATGTCATACTTCCAAGTTCATACCAGATTCATTCTATTGTGCCCTTTTGATTTAAACAACAAATTATTTTTTCGCCAATAAAAAAAAAAAAAATTTAAATTAAATAAATATATAAACACACACACATACACACAGTAATCCTCACTGGTTTAACACTTTCACATTCGATTTCTTTGCAATATGGAGTTTTGAGCACAACATTTTAGCCCTAACCAGCCCTTTGATCTTCTGTTTTGCAAAGATACATGGACATACATACCTATGGTTGTGGGCAGTTCCCTATGTACAATTGCGCGCGCGCACACACACACACAAAAAAAACACTTAGATAAAAACACAAAATTATTGTCAAATTTGGAGAACAAAGTGGAATATATTATTCCATCTTGTGCTGTCTAGGAGATGTGAGCCGATCAACTAATATGTCTAATGCTTCCTTCATCCACCAATGCTGACAAACTTCTCTAGCTTTGTCCACATTCATCTACACCAAATCAACTCTATGTTTCAATAAAACAATATCACTATAACACACGTAAGATAAAAATATACAATACAACAGTTTAATCGTTTGAGATAATTGGTGTTTTAACATAGTTTTAGAGCTCCGATATGAAAAGATCATGAATTATGGTCTTTCTATCGTCCCATTAGCTTGTATTTGGTGCTCCCTGTTTCTCCACTCATGCATAGGAGGAAACTATTAACTTGAGATACCGGAACTCATTTTCTAACCGTTTAAGCTTATATACTTTATTTATTTTTCAATGGCATTAAATGAAGTCCAGCCGAAGATTACGGTGGTGTTACATGTACAAATTAATGTATACATTAGTGTACCACTTAGTGTTATGTCATTATTACTGACCCACTTATTTTATAAATTACAAATACTTAAAACTTCTAAAATTATGTCACATCATCAGTTAGTATATTAGTTAATATATTAATTGGTACATATAGTGTTATTCCGAAGTTTATTACTTGGTCAATTAATTGAAAGATAAGGGAGGTCTCACATGACTTAAATGGCTTTAAATGAGGTTAGATGAACATTATATTACTCGCTCAGTTAATTGAAAAGTAAAGTAGGTCTCATCCAACTCATATGGCTTTAATTGGCATTGGGTGGAGACTGTTAATTGTTCAATTAATTGAAAGAGGAGATACACCACGTAGAATGGTATTATCGCCATTCGTTTATATATATATATATATTTTTTATCAGTAAAAAGAAGATTTATTGATGAAGAAAACATACAAAGTATGATAACGTACATCAATAAAGAGGAGGGTGCAAAGAGTATCAAAGTGAAACATTAAGATCCCAACTGGGTTGACATCACTGCCTCGCACTACTCTTATATTGTTAGGTTAGTTTCTACAATTTTGGTATAATTGGTAATTAACAAGATAAATCATAATATAAATATTTTGATTGAATGCACTATCTATCCCCAAAGTAAATGTTCTGTGTCATTTTTATTATCAATATATTAATTGTGTAAATTTAGTGCATATTTTATTCAATTTGTTTTTAAATAGTCTCCAACGCCATTTTTCTCAATTTTTTGCCCAAATTGGACAAAAAAATAAATTTATTTTGATTATAAAATTTGAATGGAAACGATATTGATACCATTTAAAAACAAATTAAATTAAAATATGAGATGAAAATGTACTTAGCAGCCAATTTTAAGCTACAAACGTACCCAGAGTCTTTGGCGGGAATTTTGTTCCGGCCAAAGATTGAGTTCTTGAGTGACAAGCAATGCGAACATGCGTCCTTCGTGATATATTCCTCCGCTTTTGCTCTTGAAGCTCCATTCTCCTAATTCTCCCTGCCAAAATTCACAATATCATAAACCTTGAATATTGATATCAAACATTAAAAGTTTGTTTGAATTTTGAATTTATGAAATTTTGATGAAATAGAATATAAAAAAAAAAGTGACAAAAAATTTAACTCATATTTCTTTCTCTTTTTTTGCTTCTTGACAAATCTGTCCTTAAATCTAAAATCCATAGGCAGCCTAATGGTTTGCATGTAGATTAGAATAAGGAGACTGGAGAATACGAAATATGGTATAATCTATTCTATATTATATAAAGTGTATACTTTATTTGGTGTAAATGCTGTTGAGAATATCATACACATCTAATAATTGTCACATCCAATAATTGTTAAATAGTTTTTCTTATACGTCAAAGTGTTCAAAACTACTAAATGGCCTAAATAGGTTTTACTCATTCATCAAATTGTCAAATAATTTAAAAAATAAAATATATATAAAAATATATAGCATTCATATGTACTTATACATCAAATTTAATGGAAAGATGATAGACCTCAACATTGCCAAGAACCCCGGCTTCTTCAAGTGTCTCTCTCGAAGCTGCTTCTTCAACAGATTCATCAGTTTCCCAACCTCCCTAGTGAATCAGCAACGATACAACAATTAGCATGCATATACATATTGAATAACCATTGGATATTGAAAGAATGCTTTAAAAACATAATAATAATAATAATAATAATAATAATAATAATAATAATAATAATAATAATAATAATAATAATAATAATAATAATAATAATAATAATAATAATAATAATAATAATAATAATAATAATAATAATAATAATAATAATAATAATAATAATAATAATAATAATAATAATAATAATAATAATAATAATAATAATAATAATAATAATAATAATAATAATAATAATAATAATAATAATAATAATAATAATAATAATAATAATAATAATAATAATAATAATAATAATAATAATAATAATAATAATAATAATAATAATAATAATAATAATAATAATAATAATAATAATAATAATAATAATAATAATAATAATAATAATAATAATAATAATAATAATAATAATAATAATAATAATAATAATAATAATAATAATAATAATAATAATAATAATAATAATAATAATAATAATAATAATAATAATAATAATAATAATAATAATAATAATAATAATAATAATAATAATAATAATAATAATAATAATAATAATAATAATAATAATAATAATAATAATAATAATAATAATAATAATAATAATAATAATAATAATAATAATAATAATAATAATAATAATAATAATAATAATAATAATAATAATAATAATAATAATAATAATAATAATAATAATAATAATAATAATAATAATAATAATAATAATAATAATAATAATAATAATAATAATAATAATAATAATAATAATAATAATAATAATAATAATAATAATAATAATAATAATAATAATAATAATAATAATAATAATAATAATAATAATAATAATAATAATAATAATAATAATAATAATAATAATAATAATAATAATAATAATAATAATAATAATAATAATAATAATAAAAGGTGGCTGGCCGACCTTAAAAAGTGGTCGGCCGAACAGAAAGGTGGCCGGCCGGCCACTATTTTTTGAAATTGCCCTGCTGCCACAGAATCAAAACGGAGCAAAAACAGAGTATTTTCAGAAGATGTTTATCCTCTCTACCCTTCCCTATCATGAAGATGATCAAGGGAGAAGTTGAATCGGTTCACAAATCATCAATATTCGCACTTTTGTTGCGTAATGATCTTAGAACAGATAGGACAAAAACTTAATAAAGGAAAATAAAAGACCAATAACACCTCCTCCCTATCATGGAGTTACCTCAAGAGAAATGATAGACATTGCTTCTTGAATTATTAAACATCACTAAAGAGTATGCAATAGATTTTGTTAAGAAACTTTTTACTCTCTCTCTCTAAACAGTGTTGTTTCTCTCTCTCTCTCTCTCTTAAAACCTCCTCCCTAGGCCTCCTTTTGGGCCGGCCGGCCACCGCCTTTGGCTATGGCGGTCGGCTGGCCTAGCTCTTTCCGGCTGTTGTTCGTTAGTTTTTCTCCTCCAATAAACTTGATTCCCCCATTTTACCCACCTCGGTTTGTTTTGAGTGCTGCGGTTGGTTTTTTTTCTTTTTTCTGGTCGTTCAGGATCTTCATTCGTGCGCTCTTTGGTGAAGTAGGAGCTTGAGGGGTGAACTCTGGTTCAGATTGGTGGTCAAGTTTTGATGCTTTGTTTGGGCGGAAACAAGGGCGTCGTAGTAGGTCCAGATCTGTCCGGTTTTCGTTCGTGCGCTCCTCTTTGTGTGAGAGTTTGAGGGGTGATCTTATTCCAAATGTTTGGAGGAGTCCCAGCGGTTGGTCGGAGTGTGGATTTGCAGTGGGTGTGCGTTAGCAGTGTTGGCTTTTGGAGTTGCAGTGGGTGTTTGTTATGTCTACGGCATAGGCGTGGGTGTGAAGAAGGGAAGAGAAGTTGCAGCAGAGAAGTTGCAGAAGGGAAGTTGTAGCAGGGTTGTTGGAGCTGAAATGTCAAGTTCAGCAAGGAAGATGTAGCAGCATAGGCGTTGGAGCTTTCTTGGGTGGTTGGTCGATGTTTCATACCGGTGTCGGCCCTTGGAGCTGTGGGCTATGGAGCTTTCCGGTGGTGTGGCCTCGGGAGTGTAGCAGCATAGGTGTTGTGTAGCCTTGGGAGTGCAGCAGACTAGGTGTTCAGGTGAGTGGTTGGCCTTGGGAAGACATCAACATTGGCAGTGTAGGCGTGGGAGTGCAGCATAGGCGTGGGCAGTTGGTCTTGGCACAGGCATGGGCAGCATAGGCATGGGAGTGCAGGTGCATTGGGAGTGCAGTTAGTGTTTAAAATTTTTGGGTTACCAACTTGGGTGTTAGAATAGGTTTTTTTAGCAGTTTGGGTGTTTTGGTGGGTTGATGTTGTGGGGAATCATGTATTTTATTTTTTGTTAAGTCCTTCTTAACGTTTTTTGTTTAAAAAAAAAAAATCGTGAGGCCAAGGGGTTGGTTGTATGGTTGCGAGTAGCAGTAGTAGGGGTATTTTGTACTTTCCGAATCTCTCTCAGTGCATCTCATCTTCCTGTACCTTTAATTTCATGTTGATTAATGAAATTTTCTTTGCTGATCAAAAAAATTTTTGAAATTTTGCTTGCCATCTCATTTGTGAGGATTGGGTGGAGGGGGGGAGGAGGGGGGGGAATTGTGTGGATGTAACACTATTGTTGAGGGAATATGTGAATGTGGGTGAACTTTTCAAATTTTCCTCACTATGTCATTAGGGGGATTGTGGAAGGCAGAAATTATGTGAATAAATCATTTTTCATTGTTTAATATTGAGATTTTAATGATAAATATCTCAAAAATAAGTGAAATTGTTAAAAAATACATTAGTCTCTTTGGTTTTGGATTTTTCAAAAATGTTTTTGAAATTTTTAATATGTATTTTTTGGTTTATTGTAAAATTTTAAATTTTTGTAATTATTTTTTATTTTTTTAAATCCACTTAATTTAGATATACTTTGAAAATTTAAAAAAAAAATTGTGAAAAAATATTTTTATAATTCACTGAACAAAAAATATATATAAAAATTCATGATATTTTCGTATCTTTTATATTTATTGAATTCTTTTTAGATTTGTTCACTAATGTTTTATTTTTTAAGTAAATTTAGATTAGGTACATTAAAAATAAAAATTTGACTAAAACACGAAGAAGTTCACAAAAAGCAACAAAACACGAAAAATAAAAAATTTAAAAGTTATTTTTAAAAATTCAAAACCAAACAAAGTGTCTTTGAAGAGAAATTGTTTGTTATTCTATTTTTTTTTTTTTTTTGATCGGCAAAACAAAATCTTTATTGATGGGAATATACGAAGTATGAAAGAGTACATCAATAAAGCGGAGCTTAGTTGGTGAGAGACGAGCAACAAGCAAAGAAAGAAAAGCCAGAAAAGCACAGCAAAGAAAAAAAACCATAAAAGCACAAGGTCCCATGATCCTCCAGCAGAACAAATGGCTGCCACATTAACCTCCAGCAGAGCAAAAATTAGAAGAACAACAACCAGCAAATAATAGCCAAGTACATAGGTCCCATGAACCACACTGCAGCCCATCAGTCATTCTACATAACCATGAACTACCAACAACAAAGCATGACATAGCAGAGGCAACCCAAAATAGCAACGCAGCAACATGAGCTCCAAACTTCAACCCAAAATAGCAACACAACACGTAGAGCAAACTACAGAGCAACATTACAGCAGCATTCACATAGTAGTTCAACACAGAGATACAGAACATCACCCAAAGTTGACCCAGTCCAAACATCACAGTAAGGAGAAAGAAAACCCAAACAACCAGAGCACACCAGTAGACCAGCAGATTCCCCATAGCAGCATACAACCTGAGCACACCAACACATCAACAGCCAGGCCAGTACAGCAAAGCAGTAACCAACCAATTAATCACCACCAAGATTATACTTTTTAATTCTAATGTGTAAAGAGAGAAATACAGAGAATAATGTATCTATATTATTATTGATTGATGTATTACAAGATTGTTGTATATATTGATATTTTGTTATATTTACAATGATCAAATATATAGAAGAGAAGAAGGTAGTAGGTGAAGTGGTAGGGGATGAAGTGGAGGTGGTAGTGGTAGGTTAGGTGAGGAGGTGAGTGTGTGTGGTAGGTAGTCGTGGGTTAGGTTTAGTGGGTTTAACAGCCCCCCTCAAACTCAAGGAGGTTAGACACAAACCAACTTGAGTTTGGAGAGAGTTACAAAACAGAAAAATAAACTGATAAATAAAATAAAACAGGATAGGAGACACGGTATGGTCGTGTCAGACCGTTGTAGCAGACAGTTTACGGGGTCATGTCGGACCGTTGAAGCAGACACTGTGTGATCGTGTCAGACCGATGTAGCAGACAGTTTATGGGGTCATGTCGGACCGTTGTAGCAGACAGTTTATGGGGTCATGTCGGACCGGTGTAGAAGACAGTTTATGGGGTCATGTCGGACCGGTGTAGAAGACAGTTTATGGGGTCATGTCGGACCGGTGTAGAAGACAGTTTATGGGGTCATGTCGGACCGGTGTAGAAGACAGTTTATGGGGTCATGTCGGACCGGTGTAGAAGACAGTTTATGGGGTCATGTCGGACCGGTGTAGAAGACAGTTTATGGGGTCATGTCGGACCGGTGTAGAAGACAGTTTATGGGGTCATGTCGGACCGGTGTAGAAGACATACTAATCAAACCACAAATTAGTCCCCAAGGCTAAGCAGCCACAGAACATCACAGCAGACAACCAGAATCTGATATGCTGATGTGCAAAGAATCACTGCGCAATGTGCTGCTAACCTGTTGAGTTGCAAAAAGTCACCAAAATTCCATTTCTATATTGCCTTCCATCTCTATAAGCCATCATTGCATTCTGCTGCAGAAACTCCTAAGCCAAGCACCGTCTAACCTGTTGCAGATTATGCACTAGATCACGGACAGTGTAGTTCAAAGCAGGGACAAAGGACTTAACCCACAGGGCAATTCGTACCTCAATGGTTTTACACAGAGCTACAAAATTAGTCTCCACCCCATTAAACACACAGTCATTCCTCTGTTTCCATATGGACCAGAAAATAGCATATGGTATTACACTCCACAGCTTCTTTTCAAGTTGCCTCATTCTACAACCAGACAACCACTGAAAAATACTCTGAATAGAACCTGGTGAAGCCCATTGCAGCCCCCACCCTCTGACAAAATAAGACCAGATCAGCCACACAAAAGGGTAGTGAAGTAACTCATGGTTAATAGTTTCCTTCACTTCTTTGCAGAACACGCAGCAAACATCAACATTGGCATTTAGGATACCAATCCTGCACAAGTAACTAGTAGACTTGATTCTACCCCTCCAAACCAACCAACTAAAGAATTATGCACTTGGTGGTGCAGGAGCCTTCCGCAAAGATCTAGAGATCAAACTGTTAGACCCAAAACCCAGTTCAAACCACTGGTAGGCAGATGAGACACTGAAGCAACCAGATGTATCTGCATTCCAAGTCAAACAATCGGCTACATTAGCTCTGAGCAAAAGGGTAGTGCTGAGATGCATTAGCAATCTACTCAACTCTTCTTCCTCCCAAGCAAAGAGGGGTCTCCTAAAATTAAACACCCAATTCCCATATGCATCTTTATTGCTGTGAAACATGAATACAGACCCTACTTTATCAATTGATAGAGAGTAGAGTCTAGGAAACTCATCTCTAAGGCATACACCCTCTGACCAACAGTGAGACCAAAATCTAATTCTTCTGCCATCCCCAATCTTGACCACAACATTACTCCTAAAAAATTGCATAAAATCTGCCCTAGAAGCCACAGTGTGAATAATTGTTCGTTATTCTATGAAGACAAATACTAATGAGTGCCCTTAGCTCAAGTTTGTTTGGGCGGACTGGATTAGCATTCCCATGACTAATAGTCCTAGGACTACGAATCCGTTGGATTATGTATCCTATCTTAACTAATAGTCAAGTTTAAAATAAATTAGTCCGTATTTCAATTGTTTAATCAAACATCAGATTAATAATTTTATTGGATTATTAGTCCAATCCCAAGCTCATGTCCACCCAAACAAACATGGCCTTAGAGTATTGTTTTAATATTAAAATTTTAATGAAAAATATCTCAAAAATAAGTGAAATTGTTAAAAATTACATTGCATTTCATTTTTAAAATAAATGTATTGAATATATTGAAATGCCTGGTGTTCTTTTTTATGGCTTTCTCTTGCACCCCAAGGCCAATAGGGAAACCATGATTTTGATTTAGTGGAGCC